TCATCTTAAAAGACTGAGAATTGGCACAGAGCAGGAAATTTATTAAGTAATAGGCCATCTGTTTCTTGCTTTGCTGCCTTTTGTATGGAAATAATAGGGCAGCTGCAAAAAAGATAGGGAGAATTGCTAGAGAGGCATAGGTAAGAAAAATGAAGTGGAAGGCATACATGATAAGACTGCTGGAGTCTCCCTACAGGGTAAGCTAAGCTGTTTGACACTTGTGAATCATTAATGGTCAGGACCAACAATTTGAAGAATACTTTCCCTCCCTTCTTCACCCCCCTTTTCAATTTTTCATGCAGGAAGCACCAAAGATGCCCAACGGCATGTATGATGGTAGTGCCCTAATCCGGGCCTCTGGGAAGCTGCTTCTGCTCCAGAAGATGTTGAAGAACCTCAAGGAGGGAGGTCACAGGGTGCTGATCTTCTCTCAGGTAACCAAGAGCTATTGTGTATTGGGGGAAATATTCCAGATGGTGATGGGTTAGCTGAATGCATTTTGTGCATTTTTACTCCAACTCATTTCTTTGTCTCCCCCCCCAAAGATGACTAAAATGTTGGATCTGTTGGAAGACTTCTTGGAACACGAAGGATACAAGTATGAGAGAATTGATGGTGGGATCACAGGAAATATGCGTCAGGAAGCCATTGATCGCTTCAACGGTATGTTATGAGACAGAGTACATAATGGCAGGCACAGTTACCCTTGGCAGGAACCAGGGTTCCCCTCTCATACTTTGCTGAAAATGTCAATTCACCCTTTACAACTACTAGCAGGGCAGCTGTGTTACTCTTTGAGCTGTCACAAGACCTCTTTGCTGTAACAGGCTAACACATTTGTTAGCATATGAGCGTTCATGGACTACAGTTCACCACCACCTGATAAAGCGTACTGTAGTCCATGAAAGCTTACACCATAACAAATCGATTAGCCTTTAAGGTGACACAGGATTCTTTGTGATTACGCTTTATAGTATCCCTGCTCTATTTAGAGAATGGTGAAAATGAAGGTCTGGCTGATCCAAGTATGTGTTAATCTGACAGTTTCTCGTCTCATTTATCTCTAGCTCCTGGTGCTCCACAGTTCTGTTTTCTGCTTTCCACCAGAGCTGGGGGGCTTGGCATCAACCTCGCCACTGCTGACACCGTGATAATCTATGACTCTGACTGGAATCCACACAATGATATTCAGGTGAGTTTGAGCAGCAAAATAAAAATCCCCCCCTCCATTGCAACAGTGAGGGGGAATCTGGAAGCAGCCACTTACATTTTAGAGTAACTATAGCTTACTGTGGTTAATTTCAGCTATGGCTAGTGAAAACAGCTAGTTCATAAACTGATTTGAAACTGGTTTGTTTCAACTAACCATACTTAAGAGTTACCGCACTTTGTCAGCAGCAAGGCCACCTGCTCTCGATTGTAAACATGGCCTTCCCCTTCCAGAACACCCAAGTTGAAGGTAAATCAAGGGATGTATTCTGGTACTTTCCATGGGTGTATAAAGGACAACCATTGGGAGCAACGGGCATGATTATTGCCCAGGAGTGTGACAGGACTTGGTGTTTCATAGAATTGTAGAGTTGGAAGGGACCCTGAGGATCACCTAGTCCAATTCTCTGCAATGTAGGAATATGCAGCTGTCCCATATGGGGATTGAACCTGCAATCTCAGCGTTTTCAGCACCACGCTCTAACCAAATGAGCTATCCAGGTTCAAATAAGGGATAAAAAGAATGCAAGTATAAGGAAGGTGCAAGGAGATCTTTTTTGGATATGGCTAGAGAACGGGGAGGAATAAGAAGGAATTGAAGTTATACAAAGGCTAGGAAGCGGGAAAGCTGAGCAGAATATGCTGTATATAGTTTGGGATTGACTTTAATGCTGTTAGAAGAGTCAACTGGGAAACGGTGTGATGAATAGAATCCTGAGCTTTTTTGAAAGTACTCTGAAGTAAAAGCACACGCTAATGGTCCCCATTAAAAGGAAGAAAAAATTACAAGGGGGTTGGGTTGGAATGTCTATACCATCTGTGTTTTGTGTAAAGCGAAAGTAAAACCTTTCAGACTCCTGCTATTCTACAGGAGGTGTGAAAGCCCAAAGCTTGCCTAGGATCATTCTTGTAATGCTAAGCTGTGGTTTGAAATGGCTTGGAAGGCATACTAATGTGGCAGTGGGCAATGGGATAGGACTGCTTTAGGAAGGCAAGGAAATAGAAGGACCCAAAGACAGCAAAAGGGAGTTTAATGAATGAAGACTGAAAGAGTACCCTTTTCTCTCTGTTAGGCCTTCAGCCGTGCTCACAGAATTGGACAAAACAGGAAGGTGATGATATATCGCTTTGTCACACGAGCATCTGTGGAAGAACGGATCACGCAAGTGGCCAAGAAGAAAATGATGTTGACCCATTTGGTTGTGAGGCCAGGGTTAGGCTCCAAGACTGGTTCTATGTCTAAACAGGAACTGGATGACATCCTCAAGTTTGGTACTGAAGAGCTTTTCAAAGACGAAGCCACTGAAAGCGGCAAGAATCTACGTAATGTGACACAATGTGAGTGAAGTGATTAACTTCCCTTTAGTTAGAGCTTTTGCTCTGTCCCCTTTCAGCTACCCAACAGCTCCTTAATTACAGCAAGACTCTCCTCCTCCTCCTCCTCCTCCAGGTGATATCAAGGAAAACGAGGATGGCAGTGTCATCCATTATGACGATAAGGCAATTGAACGCCTCCTGGACCGGAACCAGGATGAGACGGAGGATGCTGAGCTGCAGGGCATGAATGAGTACCTGAGCTCCTTCAAGGTGGCCCAGTATGTGGTGCGTGAAGAGGAAATGGGGGTAAGTGAGAATTGACCGCCTGCTTTCTGATTCATTTGTATCTTGGTGCAAAGGCATTCACTGCTGATGGCTAGAGGATGGAATTCTGGAGCCAGCGTGGGTTTGAAGCTTCAATCCTAAACCTCCTTACTAGGGTGAAAGCTTTACTTGAAGGCATTGGGATTTCTGAGTAAGTACGCTGAGGATTGCCTCTTCATTTTTCTAATTTTCCTGTGCTAGGAGGAAGAGGAGGTTGAACGGGAGATTATCAAACAAGAGGAGTCTGTGGATCCAGACTACTGGGAAAAGCTGCTTCGTCACCATTATGAGCAGCAGCAGGAAGACCTGGCCAGGAATCTGGGGAAGGGCAAACGCATCCGCAAGCAGGTCAACTACAACGATGGCTCGCAGGAAGACCGAGGTAGTTGTGCGTGCGTGAGATAGGAGGACGTGGCTTTATAAAAACAATGGTTGGGTTTTTCCCAGGCAACTTACTTTGGGCATTCTGTTTTTTTTCCAGATTGGCAAGATGACCAGTCAGATAATCAGTCTGATTACTCTGTAGCCTCTGAGGAAGGAGATGAAGATTTTGATGAGAGGTCGGAAGGTATGTTGAGGTGTTGTGCATTTGGACTCCTTGATTCTGGGAAAGCGCAATATGCTCTGAGCTACAGTGGGGTAGTGGGGTAGAGCATCAGGGCGGAACTAGAGAGACCACCCACTCGGCCATGAAGCTCTCTGGGTGACCTTTGACCAATTGTGACCTCTCAGCCTCACAAACTTTAGAGGGCTGCTGGGATTTAAAACTGTTAGGGTGCGTTGAGAAACATCCTGCCTTGAGCTCCTTGGAGGAAAGGCCAGGTATAAATTGAATAAGCGAAACAGATTTGAAGCTCTTTATATGATTGCTATGCTTTTCCTTGCATACCAAACTCCATCTGATTCAATATACTGTCTTAAACTGGTACTTCTCCCTTTTTCTGTCTTGCCAGCTGCTCGCCGGCCTAGTCGGAAAGGCCTGAGGAATGACAAAGACAAGCCCCTGCCCCCACTCCTTGCTCGTGTGGGAGGCAACATTGAGGTAATCCTTAAGAGTTTTATACTCCCAAAATTCTGAGAGTTTTATACTGAGGGTTTGGCACAGAAATCTTCCAAATTAACAAAATCAGATCCTTTGTGGAAGACTTGAGCCTCTATGCTTGTGTGGGGGCTGCTACTGCTGCATTTAAGCTTTTTCTCTCTCTTTCTCCTGTTCAGGTTCTGGGCTTCAATGCTCGCCAGCGGAAGGCCTTCCTCAATGCCATCATGCGTTATGGGATGCCACCTCAGGATGCCTTTACTACCCAGTGGCTGGTGCGTGACCTCCGTGGGAAGTCAGAAAAGGAGTTTAAGTGAGTCTGGCGTGCCGGAGGAAGGAGGCGTAGCTTGTAATGCCCAAGAGAGAGTGGAATTAGGGGAACAAACTTTGCTTAGCCATGTCTGGGCTGGGGAGTGATGGAATTTGACAAACAGTCTCTGGAAACCAAGCTAGTTTGAGTGGAATAGGGGAGATTGCTGGCCGAGAACTTGCACACACTTTAATTGTGAGTCTTGCTGGGGAATTACTTGCATCGAGGGTTTATGCAGTCATGATGCTACCAGTCTTTTTAACGCTCCCTTCCCTCCTTCAGGGCCTACGTCTCTCTCTTCATGCGCCACTTGTGTGAGCCAGGAGCGGACGGTGCAGAAACGTTTGCTGATGGCGTCCCACGCGAGGGCCTGTCCCGACAGCACGTCCTCACACGAATAGGGGTCATGTCTCTCATACGCAAGAAGGTGGGTATTAAAACAGTTTTTTAAGAGACCTCTAGATGGCCCTTAGCCTCTTATATGCATTGGATGGACTAATCGGTGACTAGTTTCTATTTTTGGAGTTCAGAAGGACACTGATGCATTTCATTGGTTCTGACTTGGAACGACTAAAATGTGTTTTCCATGTTCCCATCCCATTAGGTGCAAGAGTTTGAGCATGTGAATGGACGCTGGAGTATGCCAGAGCTAGCAGAGATAGAGGAGAACAAGAAGCTTTTGCAGCCCAGCTCACCTTCCCCCAAGACCCCAACTCCCTCTACGCCAGGAGACACGCAGCCCAATACCCCTGCCCCTGTTCCTCCACCTGGTGAGAGCCCTGAGTTTGTGTTAAAAGAGCCCCGTCCAGCCTTCAGTGCTGCTCCTCTTTCCAGCTGTGACAGAGGACTTGGGGCGGACGTAGATCAAACCAACTCTTAATTTAGGAGGGCTTCCTGGAGCTAAGGCTAGCCCTCAAAGGCACAAGAGGACATTGCTGTGGATTGTCTGCATGGGAGGAGGGTCATTCCAGGGGATCAGAGTAAAGAGACTTTCTGAGTCCCAAGTGGTGTGTGCTGAAAGCTGCTTCTGCTTTCTCCCCTACTGATTTATAGAGGAGGCAGTGAAAGTAGAAGAGGGGGTCACTACCAAGGAACAAGGGGAGCCCACAGAACCTGAGAAGGAGACTAGTCCCACTGTTGCTGCTGCTTCCACTGCTGAGAATGAAGCCCCGGCTGAGGTGAGCTTCAAGGGTTTTCTTCATGTTGCTGCTAAATAAATGCACTTCTTCTTCTGATCTTTGGAATACTCTACTGATGACTGAGGTTCTTCAGCTTTCAAATGCTGTTATCCTTTGGCCGTATTGTCTTTGGGAGACAGGGAGGGAAATGTGGCTTTTAATCAGTTACTCCACCGCACCCTACTTCAGGATTCTGAAGAGAGACATCTATTTTGAAACATAAATGCTTTGTTTTTAAAAATGCAAAACTCCATAAAGCAGTGAACAGTGTCCATGGCTGGGACAGAGTCGTTTGTTATTGTGGCTGAATGTGCTGTGAAACCTGACTGCAGAGGTTGGTATATTTTCTTACACTTCACTGGGTAAGATTCTCACCCCCACCTCCCTTCTTTCTTTCTCTTGTCCACTCAGCAGGCTCCTCCCGCAACAGAGACCCCCGCACAGGAGCCGAAATCCCCTGTGAATGCTGTGGAAACCGAAGAGAAGAAACCAGAAGAAGTAGAAGTGAAAGAGGAGCCAATGGAAACGGAAAGCAAAGGTATGGCTGTTCATTCATAGATGCATGTGCAAGACATATGGCATTCCAGAGCATGGGGGGCTCTCTGGTGTTGATGCAAAGGAGAGTTCACAGGGCTACCAAAATTAACCTGGTTGGGACTGAATTAGCCGCTGCTTAAATCAGGATGGATGCATTCAATTCTTAAAACCTTCCTCTCCTGCAGCTGACATAGAGAAGGTGGAAGAGAAGACGCCTGCGGAGTCAAACCCTGAGCCTCCAACAATTAACCTTGAGGAGAAGGGTGAGTATTCTAGGCATGGCTGGTATGGCCTTGGCTGTGCATACTGTCGCTGCGGAGATCCGGGGACTAACCAACAAGTTCTTTCCCCCCCCCTAAACAGAGGAAAAGAAAGAAGACGACAAGAAGGATGTCGTGATGCTGCAGAACGGGGAGACACTTAAAGAGCCTTCTGAAGACCGGCACAAGAAAGCCATGAAGCAGCGGTTCATGTTCAACATTGCAGACGGAGGCTTCACTGGTACTGGCAGGCCGAGGGTGCAGCTGTTGATTGTGGGGAAGCGAGGTCTCACTCGGTTATGAGAAAATTAATTTTCTGACATTGTTTCCTCTTGCAGAGTTGCACTCCCTATGGCAAAATGAAGAGCGAGCAGCTACCGTTACCAAGAAGACCTATGAGATCTGGCACCGGCGCCATGACTACTGGCTCCTGGCAGGAATCATAAAGTATCCTTTTCCAGCCCTAGACTTTGAGTGTGGCCCCATGCAAAGGGCTTCAGTGGGTCCTAGGCTGCCATTGCAGCTTTGCCTGCGTTCGTCCACTGCATCTGCCGCTTACTATTCATATTCCACCCTTCTTCCAAGAAGATAAGCAGCACAGTACATTGAGTTACCTCACTTTAGCCTTGCAACATTTTTACTCGGTAGGTTAAGATGGGCGCAACTTCCCCACATTTTGCGTGCTGTGGTTGTTTGACTGAACAGGATTTGAACCCAGGTTTTCACATATCTGAACCCGGCTCTCCCAGAATGAATGCATTCTGCACATTGCAATAATACATACCAACGTATGTATGTGCACTCAGTTGCTTGCATTAGGATTCTGTACTGTTTGCCACTTGGCTTCTGAAGGATGTTCAGGTTTCCTGCTTAGCCCTGCTGCAATTGCTGCTGTTCCTGTGTCATTCTCATCATCTATTAAGGCAATCTGCCTGCTCTGTCTGGCAAGCTCCACTTTGCCATTGTATAGTGGCTTCGTCCAAACAGAGAACTGCTCTCTGGTGCAGGCAGGCTGTGCTCCAGCAAATTTTGCAGCAGTGGTTTGGCAGGAGGAGCAGTAGGAGGAAGAAAGCTGACCTAAGGAAGTGAGCAGCTAGGAGGGTGATTGCATTAGCACCTGCTTTGTAAATCTGGGGCTATGGGAGCCTGGTACATGACTTGCATCTTCTGAAAAATCATGGGGACTTCTTCCTATTTAAAAAAGAACGCTTTCTCAATACTGAATCTTAATGCCTCAAGAACCGCCTCTCCCCAAATGAAATAACCCAGCCCCTGTGATTATTATTTGAGGCTCTTTGTGTGCCTCCTCCATGAGAGGTCTGGAGGGCAGCAATACGAGAATGGACCTTTTCTGTGGTGGCTTCACCTGTTTGTGGAATAATCTCTCCAGGGAAGCTCGCTTGGCACCTTCGTTACATATCTTTAGGCATCAGGCTCTTCTCCTTTGGCTAATTAAAGAATCTGTGGCCTTATAAACTCCAGGGAGGGGGTTGTTTGTGTGGTATGTATTTTTGTGTTTTTATACTGTACACTGCCCTATGGTCTTCAGATATGTAATAAATAATAATATCACCACTAAGACACTCGATGAGTGTTAAAAGCAATGCCAATTGCCGGAACAGTGCATTTCCAAAATTATTTTTTCTGAGCTTGGTCAACTTCAGCCACGGTTATGCTCGCTGGCAAGATATCCAGAACGATCCTCGTTATGCCATCCTCAATGAGCCTTTCAAGGGTGAAATGAACAGGGGCAACTTCCTGGAGATAAAGAACAAATTTTTGGCCAGGAGGTTTAAGGTGAGAAGCTATGAATTAAATGCTATATATCGGTGGTGGCTTGAGTTTTCTCCAATGAGCAAAGTAGCTTGTTTTCCTCTAGGCTTTCTAATTAAGAAAAGAGTACTCTGTAGATACATGTGGATTTGAATTAAACATTGTGAAAGTCATGGCATTTAAACAGAAGCAAAACTGAATGGAGATGCTCCTGAGCTGCTCTTATGGAGACGGTCTCTCCCACAAACTCGCACCAATATATATTTTACACAAGTAAGCTTTTTAAAATATGCAGGCCTGTTTGCCATAGCACCTTTCTTAAACAAACAAAATACCTGTTGAGAGGCTGAGTGGGTTCATGCTATATGCACCTGGTACAACTGGAGCAACACACAGAACTATAGATCCCAGTTTCACAGTGGTAATTCTGCAGCTAGCCTTTAGCTACAGGTCTCTCCAAACTTGTGTATTCTGTTTCAGGATATGTTGCAAATGTCAAAGGGGTGAATTTGCTCTTACCTTCTTGACCTAATTGTACCGGTACAAGCCTGTACTATAGCTGGCATAGGCACTAGGGGTTGGTTCTTTGCATGCAGTTTTAGCTACTGAACCCATGGTTTTGTTTTGGTTTAAAGAATGAATTGTGTGGCAGTACAAGATTGCATAAGCTATGCAACCATTCCTCATAGGTTTGCAATAAACTTTGTGGTGGTATGCCATTTCTGAGGGAGTTTAGCATATGGATAGATTTCTCCTTATGGTAACACTATTGATCTTTCTAGTACAGTGCATAAGCATGTTGAGACAAGAGTCAGCAATTGGCATAGACCCTGCAGCGGAAGCTCCGTGGCTCAAGTGAGAAAAGGCCTCCCTTGTTCTGGGAGGGAGCCTCGCAGCAGTTTGAAGAGCTGGACTCAGGATCCTGTGTTTTTTTAATTCTTTTGCAGCTGCTGGAGCAGGCACTTGTGATCGAAGAACAGCTAAGGAGAGCTGCCTACCTGAACATGTCAGAAGATCCATCCCATCCCTCCATGGCCCTGAACACCCGTTTTGCTGAGGTGGAGTGCCTAGCTGAGAGCCACCAGCATCTATCCAAGGAGTCTATGGCTGGAAACAAACCAGCCAACGCGGTGCTTCACAAAGGTGAGGAGTCGGCAGGAGATCACATGGAGTGAGGGCAGACTTCCGTTGTGTGCCACTGGCCCCTTCCCCCCGCCCCACCTCATCCCGCCTCCCTCCACCCCCCGCCCCCAATGCTTGTGTCTTTCTAAATGTGCAACTTCTCTTTCTCTTCTAGGGGAGGAGGGCAGCTAGTGTTGGGGGAAAACCCTCCTCCAGGTTCGGAAGGCAAACTTCAATTTTAAAACGAGGAAGAGGGGCTTTAATTCCCTTACATCCCCAAATGATTTTGGGTTTGGGGAGGCTCCAGCAGAACCTGGTTGTCTTGCAATGAAAAGCGAGATGACGTAACTTTGCTGCAGGAAGCAGGAGATGGGTCAGGGTTTACAGGTCAGATCCCACTGGTTCTGAAGGGGAATGTTTTGGCCTGGCCAATGAGAACATGTTTGGGCTGGTGCCATCATATGATTGCAGCCGAACATTGCTGCATCACAGGCTTCTCTCCTTCACATCCATTACCTGATGGAGAAGATGCAATGGGAGGCAGTATAGCCTCCCTTCAACACAAGGGCACAAAAACAGTTGTGGAAATACAGGAAGGCCAGGTAACAACCCCCAAGGAAGGCCCCCTACTGCAGAGCCCACTCTCTGGGAAAGATGCTTCCATTGCCTGAGGCAACCATCCTTTTTCTTCCCTCCTCCCCATTAAAGGGGAGACCATTCCCCCCGACACACACACCTTTATGCAGTGGATCAAAGTGTTTCTTCTGCCTTTTACTAAAAAGAACTGCACTCTTAGGAGCAAGAATCCCTCATTCCATGGTAGAAGAGATAGTACTCATTTTTCTCATACCTGCTCCAGGGGCAGACGTGCCACTCCCTGAAGAGGTAGAAGGTGCAGTACATCTTGGGAGCACATCTGCTCTAGGTCATTCTTTCATTATTGCCCATGGGGATAGGCACTATTTACATGGCCAGAAAGGAGAGAGCTTCTGTCAGCTGCTGAAGACATCCCACAAGAGTGGACTCTTTCCCAAGTTGGACCCCCCCTACAATGATCTTGCTTC